TTCTCTTCTCTTCTCTTCTCTTCTCTTCTCTTCTCTTCTCTTCTCTTCTCTAAGTGTTTTGGCCATTTGTAAAACACTAAACACACACAACAGTGATTTCATTCTCATCATTTCTGAAAATGTCGATCCTTTATTATTTTTCTAGCAACGTGGCTCCTTGTCATAACTTCAAATTTTCTTTGTATTTTTAGAAGGAAACAAACAAACAAGAACAAGTAATATGTAAGTCATTCTCACTCTAAAAGATTCCAATAAGACTTAAAACTTCTATAAAAGATATTAAAGACCTTTTATGGTCTCTTTCTACTTCCATCCCAAGACTTAACTGCTATGGGTCCTTCCAGGGATGTTTTTGTGTATGTTTGCTGCATGGATACCTAAACTCGCTCGCTCACTCTGTGTTAGGTATCTATTGCTGCATAACAAGTTATTCTGGAACCTAGAGGCTTAAAACAACCAATATTATCTCAGAGTCTCTTTCCAGTTGCAGCTTGGCTAAGTGCTTCTTGCTTAGAGTCTCTCATGAGCTTGTAGGCAAGCTGGGGCTCTGGTCTCATAGGAAGGCTTGACTGGAAGAAGATCTCTTCCAAGCTCGCTCATGTGGCTGTTGGAACCCCAGGTCCTTTGCTGGATGTTGGCTGGAGACATCAGTTCTTTGCCACGTGGGTGTCTCCTTAGGGCAGCTCACACTACGGAAGCCAGCTTCCTTCAGAACAAACAAGCAAAAATGTGAACAAGGATGCCCAAAACAGAAGTCACAGCCTTTTGTAACCTCATCTCAAAAATGACATCCCATCACTTTTGACATTCTGTGTTCATGAGAACAGATTCCTACATTCAGCACACACTCAGTGGGAAGGAATGACACGAGGGCATAGGTACCAGGAGGACCATTAGGAACCATCTTAGAAGCTGCCCACACCCCCCCACCCCATATGCCCATGCTCTCCTACACACACGTGTGATCACCTCCTCTGTGAGGGCTACTCTGACTACCCTTTTAAAAACTGAAGCTCTCTCATGGGGCGCCTGGGTGGCGCAGTCGGTTGAGCATCCGACTTCAGCCAGGTCACGATCTCGCGGTCCGTGAGTTCGAGCCCCGCGTCGGGCTCTGGGCTGATGGCTCAGAGCCTGGACCCTGTTTCCGATTCTGTGTCTCCCTCTCTCTCTGCCCCTCCCCCATTCATGCTCTGTCTCTCTCTGTCCCAAAAAAATAAATAAACGTTAAAAAAAAAAATTTTAAAAACTGAAGCTCTCACCTCTTACCTTCCATCCCCTTCCTTTGCTTGCTTTTTCTTTATGGCACTTATCGCCTTCTAATATTCTAAATTACTTATATATAATGTTTATTTCTCTCCAAGGGTCCATAAAGGCAAAAGGTTTTTTCCATCTGTTTTTCTATCTCCCCAGCATCTACAACAGTGTCTGATACCTTGGTACTTAATAAATATTTAATTAAATTGTCTATGCCTTGTTATGTAATTTGCTTTCTTGCCAGTACATCTTAGAGTATTTCCAAGTCAGTGTATATATAAGTTACCTCATTCTTTTTAATGGCTGCTTAATAATCCACATTATGACCATTCCATCCGTCATTTCAACGTTGCCCTCTTGAGGGACACTTACTTGTTTCTGCGGCCTCGCTATTTCAAGCTGCTGCAAACATCCTCGTATGTGTATCTTCACACATATGTATAAATAGTTATGGGACAAAGGCCCCTAGAAGTCCTGCAATAGCTTTAAGTTCTGGTCTTTGTGTGGTTGAATTGCATGAGGAGGTAATTACATCAGGGGACTTTCGTTTGTTGTTTGTTTCTCTTTACATAACTGCTTTCCCTTCTTTTGCCTTGACGTTGGGTTTTGCATGAGTGGAAAATGCTTGTGTAGGGAGTTTAGGATCTCAGTCACTGTCACGTACTGGGGTCTGGTCTTTGAGTTGCCCTTATGCTGCCAACGTTCTCCTACTCTCTCGAGAGTTAAATTCATTTAAGAGCGTGGCACCCTGCTTTGTGCAAGGCATCATGGAGAACATGGAGGTAGAGCATTACTTTAGCTTTCTAGCAACTTCCACCTTACTTGGGTGGTGAACATTAACAAGTTAAATAATAGTTAATCAAGCAGTGAGTCAGAAATAAGTGTGAGCAAGTCATGGGCAAGAGAGGCCCTCGGGACTCAGGCGGTCAGGACAGGCTTTTGAGGGTAGATGGGGCTTGAGCTATACCGTGAGGAGAAGGACCTGAACAGGAAGCAGGGCAAGAGGGAAGGGTAAGCAACCAGTTGTAAGTGGAGGGCACGGAAGGAAGAAGCAGTTTTGTGCTCAGCACCAGAATGCCACGGGAGTCTGGTTGATTTGGATTCCTTTGCAGTGGCACCTGGCGATGTTGGGGGCCATGCTGGCACGTTCGGTGGAGCGTTCCATCAGCATTATCATCTGAAGAGTGCTGGGCAGCAGATAGTTGGTCAGTCAGTCCCTGGGAAGCTTTGACTGGTGGTTCCAGTGTGATCAGGGCTCCCAAATCTCTATCCAGTGACATTCGGTGCCCGGTGTGACCCGCCAGGCAGCTTCCCCTCTACCCTCCTTTATCATCTTCTGCCTGGGACTCCACAGTCTGTCATTCCTGCCCCGTGCCAACCTGCATTACGTTGTTACGCCGTTTCCTATTGACAATTGTTTATCTTCTGCCTCCGAGCACGGCACGACCCTCTCTAACCTGCTATGGAATCAAACCAGCGCCCTGCCTCGTGCTCAAGGGCCAGATCACACTAACATAAAGAGAATTCTGCAGGACACATGGGCCTGCCTCTCTCTTCAGGCATGGCTCCGTCATTGTTCTCAGAAGGCTGGCTGCTTGCTTTGGAAAATTTCCCAACAGCCTGACCCACCTTGGTACCATCCTTAATCTTCACAAAGAAAAGGCTGCAAACACAGAAAATCTCTCCAAAGGACGGTAGAATGGATGATAGAAAACGTAGGTGAGTGCGTGGTGGCACTGCCCAGGACGCAGTAGGAGCTCAACAATTATGAGTAACTGGGAAGTAGCAGAATAACGATTGTCCTTTTAGAAGAGC